GTGGTTCCCGTGGCTCGTAAAGGCAAAAACTCCCTGTTTTCTCCCCCTGCCACAGGTGCTGATCCCGGGAGCAGCTTTCCCTGTGTCCGTGCCCATGTCCCCGCTCTGAGCCCTCGCCAGGATGAGGATCGTGGTGGCCAAGGTGCTGTGCCTGCTGGGCATCTGTGTGCTGGTGCTGGCGGGGGCCCTGCTGCCCGTGAGGGTCATCGAGGCCGACCACGAGAAGGCCCAGCGCTCCAGGAAGGTGCTGGCCCTCTGGAATTCCTTCGGAGGAGGGGTCTTCCTGGCCACCTGCTTCAACGCCCTGCTGCCAGCTGTGAGGGGCAAGGTGAGTGCTGGCCATGCCCGTGCCGGGGACACCTGAGCCTGCAGGGGCCCAGCCCTCCAGGCCCCGCTCCCTGCGGGAATGGGGGTGATGAGGGGTCTGTGTCCAGCTGGATGTGGAGCCCCCTCAAACGTCTGTGCCTGGTGCCTCATATGGTGAGGGTGAGCTGTGCCCACCTCCCTGCCCTACTGCTGGCTGTCTCCACGGGGTCACGGGGCATTTGGGGGATTTTTTGGGGCGTGAGGATCCCAACTCCGTGTGTTTGGAACGTGGGAGGGCAAAAGGATTCCCTGTCTCATGGCAGGGTGTCCAGGGGTGTGGGAGTGCCATGGATCACTCCAGTGCCCGTGTGGGGCCGTGTGAGCACAGCGGGACCGTTTCCCTTCGGAGGGATGGATTCACTGTGCATCCTTTGCCTCCTCCCAGCTGGATGAAGTCCTCAAGCAGGGGAACGTGACCACGGACTACCCGGTGGCCGAGACCATCGTGATGGTCGGCTTCTTCGTCACGGTCTTCGTGGAGCAGCTCGTCCTGAGCTGCCAGAAGGAGAAGCCCTCCTTCATCGACCTGGAGACCTTCAACGCGGGCTCGGACGGCGGCAGCGACTCGGAGTACGAGAGTCCCTTCATCGCCTCGCCCCGGGGCCGGGCCCTGTACGGGGAGCACGGGGGGCACCCCCCTCACCTGAGCCTGCCCGAGCTGTCCCGCTCCGGCCCCCTGCGCCTGCTGGGGCTGGTCTTCGCCCTGTGCACGCACTCCATCTTCGAGGGGCTGGCCCTGGGGCTGCAGGAGGACGGCGGCAAAGTCATCAGCCTGTTCCTGGGCGTGGCCATCCACGAGACCCTGGTGGCCGTGGCGCTGGGCATCAGCATGGCCAGGGCCGCGCTGCCGCTCAGGGACGCGGCCAAGCTGGCCCTGGCCGTGTGCCTCATGATCCCGCTGGGAATCGGCGTCGGGATGGGCATCCAGAGCACCCGGAGCGCCGCCAGCGACGTCGTGTCCCTGCTCCTGCAGGGCATGGCCGGCGGCACCTTCCTCTTCGTCACCTTCTTCGAGATCCTGGCCAGGGAGCTGGAGGACAAGAGCCAGCGGCTGCTCAAGGTGCTGTGCCTGGTGCTGGGCTATGCCCTGCTGGCCGGGCTGGTGCTCATCCCGTGGTGAGCCGGGAGCCTCGGGAAGCCAAGCTCGGCGGGATGAGCCGCCCCTCCCGCTGCAGGGACGCCGGAGCTCCGCGGGCAGGTGGAACAGCCCGGCCCAGGGGTGTTTCCATGATTACCTGCAGGAGGAGGATCTCTTCCCGCGTGCCCAGAGGGAGATGAGTGAGGAACATCCCAAGGGATTGTCCCTGCCCGTGGGGCTGCGGAGATCAGCTGGCACAAACATTAAGGATCTGGTTAAAGGCTGCTTCCGAGAGCTCCTCGAGTGTGTGTGGCTTCCTGCAACCTCCACAGTCCCCCTCTCCCTCCTGCCCCTCGCCCACACTCCGGAACGAGCCGGGAGCCTGGTCCGTGGGCTCCGAGGAGGTGAGGAACAGGACTGGGGCCGGAGCAGGTGGGAGCAGGGATTGCTGGGCTGCACTAAGCTGCTTTGGCTGGCTTAGTTTGGAGCAAAACCTGGTTGTAAGAGCTGCCAAAAATAACGTCCCCGTGGGGCTCCAGCATTCCCGGGGTGCTGCTCCCTCTGGCACAGCTTCCAGTGCAACCACCCGGGGCTGGGGGAGCTCGGCTTTCCCAGGCACTGAGGGAGGAAATGAGGCTGGGCCCCTCTCCCCTCCTTCCTTCCCTGCATCTCATCCTTATGCTGAGCATTCCCTTAGGAAAACCTCCAGCAGTGTGTTAACTTAGTGTTTGGGAATCATAGGATGAATCCCAGGATGGTTTGGGTTGGAAGGGAACTTAAAGCTCATCCAGTCCCACCCCCTGCCAGGGGCAGGGACACCTTCCACCAGACCAGGTTGCTCCAAGTCTTGGACACTTCCAGAGATGGAGCAAATCCTTCCGTTATCCCTGTCCATTCCCTGGCACTCCCAGGGCCCGGGATCCAGGAGCTTGTGAGAAACGGGCAGCAACACTTTCCAGCATTAATATTTTAGGGAAAGCACTTGTGTTTTCAGAGCTCTGCAGTGAGAGGGGTTGAGCAGTCGGAGCAGAGGCTGCTCCCAGGCTTTTCCAGGTTTCCAGAGGAATGGAATCTCTTCCCTGGAGGGGTGTGAGGTGGTGGAAGGGCTGCTGAGAGAGACACAAGCAGATCTCAGAGCGGGGCCCCAGGGAAGCTCCGTGTGCTGCTGATCCCTTTGGATGCTCTCTCCTGGGTGCGGAGCCGGGATCAGAGGCTGGAGCTGGGAAGGAGCTTCCCCCCCAGCTGTGTGACACAGCCGGGCTCAGGCAGGGGCTGCATTTTAATTACCCGGAGCCGCCGCTCCTGCAGCAGCTTCCGGCGGGCTCCTGGAAGCGCTGCTGGAATGACAAGGATGGCGCAGTGCCGGCAGCGGGAAGGGGCCGCGGAGCCGCCGCGGTGGCCCAGCTGCAGCATATGGAGGCAGCTGAGCATCATCTGACAGATCCTGGGGCTCGTTAGTTTAATTGCTGCAACATCCCCGAGTCAATTAATCTTCCTTTGAAAACCTGGAGTGGAGGGGGGGGCGGAGGGAGGTTATTTTGGGCCTGGGATGACACAAACGAGCAGGATGAGGGGAGCGTGATTTGCCTCGGCGTGGCAAAGCCTCGGGGCTGTCTCACCTCTCCTGGGGGGTGACATCGCTCCCCGGGGGGGTTCTCTGTGCTGGGGGGGCGAGGGGGGAGAGGTGACACCGTGCTGAGTGTCCCTTTTTGGGCCGTATCCTGCCTTTCCCACCCTCGTCCTGCTGGACTTTGGGATCGGGGCTGCCCCGGGGTGGGCTGTGAAGTGCCAGGAGGTGCTGAGCTCCCCCCTCCTCATCCTGCTGCCCCGGGGGGGTTTATCCACGGAACCATCCCGTGCTCCGGGGTGGGTGTCGGAGCGGAGGAGGCTCCCAATAAACTCCCTGCCCTTCTCCCCTCGCTGTCACTCGGTTGTTTGATGTCCCCCGTGGCTGCTCCACGTCCGGCTCACGCGGCGGCTGCACGTGCCCCCCACCCCCTCCGGCAGCCAAAAACCCCCCCTGTCCGGACCCCCCTCCCCATCCCCAAGCCCTGCTGAGCTCAGAGAGGGGACAGGACCCCCCTGGCACCCCCCGCCCGGCCCGGCCGTGGTTCAGCCCTGCGGGAGCGGCCGCCCCGCAGCGCCGGGCCCGGCGGGGAGCTGGGGCTCAATGGAACGAGGAGGAGCCGCAGGAAAACCGTCAAGGAAACTCATTCATTCCCTCTAACGAGGAGTATCCACCCTGCGGGGGGACTCGGGGGGGGGCTGCGGCTGCCACCCCCCCCCCCAGGGCCCTGTCACCCCGCGGGCAGGGCCGGGGTCCCCGTGGGCCCCCCCTGCTCCCGCCGGGCTGTGGTGGCAGCGCGTGGGTGCTGCCGTGGCCCGGTGCCTGCTGCCTGCTATTAATAGCAGCTGCAGATTTTAATTGCTGCTGCTCAGGAAGGGGGGGAAGCAGGAGCCCCCCCTGGCAGGCCCTGGCTGTGACAGGCACCTTGAGACCACCAGGGCCACCAGTCACCTCCAGCCCCCCCTCCTGCCAGTGGTGGGGCAGAGAGCTGGGGACAGTCACCCTCGGGCCATTCTGGTCCCTCTCAGGCACTGGGGGGGGGGCTCAGCCAGCACTTGGGGGTCCCACAGTGACCCCAAGGGCCCCTCCGGGGTTTTGGGGCTCTGCCATAGGGAGATGACACCGGTTGGTGACAAAGGCCCCTGGTCCTGCAGTGGGGTGGCACCGTGGCCTCTGTGTCCCCAAGGCCCAACCCCACTGCCCGAAACACCCCCAAATGCCACAGGGGCTCACGGCAGCTCTGCCAGGTTGGGGGGTTGGCATCTGTCTGTCCTGTCCCTGTGTCCCCTGTCACCACCTGTCCACGAGTGCCCGGGCTGTTCCTCGTCCTGTGGGTCCATGTGACCTGTGTCCGTGTGTGGTTCCTGTCTGTGTGTCCCCATCCCCAGGTATCCCTGTCCATGTGCCTGTGCATCCATCTGTCCCCATCCCCACATGTCCCCATCTCTCCACATGTCCCTGTCTGTGTGTCCCCATCCCGTGTGTCCCTGTCTGTCTGTCCGTCCCCATCCCTTGCCCTGTGTCACCATATTTGTGTACCTGTTTGTATGACCCCATCCCTGTCCGTGTGTCCCTGTCTGTGTGTCTCCCTCCGTGTGTCCCCATCCCGTGTGTTCCTGTCTGTCTGTCCCCATCCCTGTCCGCGTGTCCATCCCGTGTATCCCCGTGTGTTTGTCCCTGTCGGTCTGTCCCCATCCCTGTCCGTGTGTCCCTGTCCGTGCATCCCCGTCCCTCTGTCCCCATCCCCGTCCGTTTGTCCCCGTCCCGCCGCCGTGTCCCGGAGCCGTTCGGGGCCGGGCCCGGGGGTCCGGGGCCCCGGGCGGGGCGGGCGCGGCGGGCGGGGCCGGCGGCGGGGCGGGATCGGCTCTGCGGCGGCCGCACCGCACCGAGCCGAGCCGAGCTAAGCCGAGCCGAGCCCCGCCGAGCCGAGCCGGCCCCGCCGCACCGGCCCCCGCGCCGCCGCAGCGAGCCGAGCCGAGCCGAGCCGAGCCGGGCGGAGCGGAGCCGCCGCGCCGGGGCCGCCCCGGGCCGGGCCATGCGCTGAGGCCGCCGCGCCGCCCGCAGCCAAGGGCGGATCCCGGGCAGGACACGGTGAGGCGGCGGCACCGCAATGCGACCGGCGCGGCGGGGGCCGGGGGAGCGCGGCCGGCGGGGGGACCGGGGCTGCCCCCGGCGCGGGCGGGGAGCGGGGCGGTGGGACCCGCGACCCTGCCCCGCCACCCCTCCAGCCCCTGCTCCTGCCCCTCCATCTCCATCCCGAGCGGGATGCTCGTCCATCCTGCCCCTTCTCCTGCCTCTCCATCTCCATCCTGCCCTTCTCGCTGCTCCTCCATCTCCATCCTGCCCCTACGCCCAGCCCCTTCTCCTGCCTCTCCACCTCCATCCTTGCTCTTCCCCTGTCTCTCCATCTCCATCCTGAGCGGGATGCTCATCCATCCTGCTCTTCTTCTGCCCCTCCAATCCAGCTCCTTCTCCTACCCCTTCATCCCTCCATCCTGCCCTGCCCCTTCCCTGCCTCTCTCTCTCCATCCTGCCCCCGTCCCTGCCCCTTCACCCCTGCCCTCCACCACGACCCCCAGCCCCCTCCACCAGCTCTTTGTCACCCCCAGCGCTGGGGGCCCAAGTGGGAGGGTTCTGGGGGTGCTGGGGGGAGCAGAGCCCCCCGGCAGGATCAGGCCCGGGCTGGCAGGTGGTCCCGTGCCCAGGAGCTGAGGGGGGGCTTTGCTCCGGACCCTCAGGCACCAAGGACTGGTTGGGGCTGGAGCACAGGCCAGGGGGTGACCCCAAAGGGCCCCCCCCAGTTCCTGGAAGGTCCATCCAGCCCAGCCTCTCACCCCAGTGCCCCCCACCATGGCTGCGAGGCCAAGGGGGCTTCCAGCTGTGCCTGGGGCGGGTGGGAAGGGACAGGTGGGAAGGGACAGGTGAGACACTCGGGTGGGAAGGGCAGGACCTTGTCCAGCCCTGGCTGATGTTGGGCACTCCCACGCCCCAGCTCAGCCCCGGTCCCACTCCATCCCCAGCCCCGTGTGCCGGTGACGCTTCCAGCGTGGTGGGATCCAAGGAGCCTGTTGTGGGATGAGCTCCTTGGGTGCCCAAGGCCACGGGGATGGGCTCCTTCTGCAGCTCCCAACCTCACCAGCTCTGGTGTTTGGGGATGTGCCGGAGTATTGGGGCTGCTCTGTGGGATCCGGATCCCCCGGTGCCGTGGGGTGGGAATGCAGCACCCGGGGACCCTCGTGGGGCAGAGCTGGTGCTGCCACTCCTGTGCTGCCCTGGGGACACCGAGGCAGGGCCAGCCCAGAGCTCGGCATCAGCGGCTCTTTGTGCCCCCTCATTTCACACCCTGGGGCTGTGCCACTCAGGGGGGCACTGGGGACCCTGCCCAGGCCTGGGGACCCTGCCCCTGAGAGTGGGCACTGAGGTTTGGCAGCGTAAGGGTGGCCATGGAGGTCTCAGAGCTTGCAGATCACCAGCCCACAGCCCACCCTCCCCAGCCCAACCCTGTGCCATGCTGTGCCCAGTCCCTCTGCTCCCGGACACATCCCCGAGCTGGGAGCAGAGCAGAGGGATGACACAGGTGGCACAGGGCAGGACAGGGTGGCAGGGGGTGACAGGGCACAGCGCAGGGTGACAGGGGCTGACAGGACATTTGGCAGCGTGGCCTGTGTGTGAAATGGCACCTCCATACCTGGGGCAGGGCCCGAGAGCCCAGGTGGGCGCTCCAGGTGCCACCACGTGCCGGCGGCCACCCCAGCCCCTGCTGCCCGGGGGGGCTCTGGGGGTCCCTGCCCAGCGTGGCCCCCCCAGATCGCCGCCCCGGCAGCCTCGGCCGCAGCCGCGGTGCCGGTGGCCACGCTCGGCCATATGGCCACAGCGGGCACCGGGTAAAAATAGCCAAGGCGGCCGCACCCCGGGCCGGGCAGCAAGGGCGTCCCAAGGGCACGGCGGGGCCCGACCCCCGCCCGGAGCTGCACCTCACGGGGGGCTCTCGGCCGCATTTGGGGGGGTCCATCCCGAAGCCCCGGCGTGACGCCCCCCTGTCCCCCCGCAGCGGCGGCAGCACCTCCGGGGCAAGATGCCGGAGCAGAGCAACGACTACCGGGTGGTGGTTTTTGGCGCCGGCGGCGTCGGCAAGAGCTCGCTGGTGCTGCGCTTCGTGAAGGGGACCTTCCGAGACACCTACATCCCCACCATCGAGGACACCTACCGCCAGGTGATCAGCTGCGACAAGAGCGTGTGCACCCTGCAGATCACAGACACCACCGGCAGCCACCAGTTCCCGGCCATGCAGCGCCTCTCCATCTCCAAGGGCCATGCCTTCATCCTCGTCTTCTCCGTCACCAGCAAGCAGTCGCTGGAGGAGCTGAAGCCCATCTACCAGCAGATCGTGCAGATCAAGGGCAGCGTGGAGAGCATCCCCATCATGCTGGTGGGCAACAAGTGCGACGAGACGCAGCGGGAGGTGGAGAGCAGGGAGGGGGAGGCCATGGCCAAGGAGTGGAAATGCGCCTTCATGGAGACCTCGGCCAAGATGAACTACAACGTCAAGGAGCTCTTCCAGGAGCTGCTGAACCTGGAGAAGAGGAGGAACGTGAGCCTCACCATCGACGGGAAGCGCTCCAGCAAGCAGAAGAGGACAGACAAAATCAAGGGGAAGTGCAGCATCATGTAGAGAGCCCCGGACTGGCCCGTGCCCCCCCCTCCGGACCCCCCTTCTCCCCCCCCACGGCCGGACGTGGCAGTGGCATCGCAGCGGGACCGTCCCCTCGTCCTCCGTGTGCCATCACTGTGACTGTGCGGGGACGCCTGCGCTCGCCCCGGGGCTGGGGGTGAAGACGGGGCGTCCCCCCGAGCCGAGGGACACGCGGCCACCCCCGCCGGGCACGGCAGGACCCCCGGACCACCCGCACCCCCCACACTCACAGCACAGCCGGCGGCCCCGGCCCCGGCCCCCGTCGGTCCTCGTGGGAGGGAAGGACCTCGTGGTGGTGTCGGTGTCACCCTCGGGGACGGTCACACGCGTCCCAGGCCCTCCCCACGCCCCCGTCCCCACGCCATAGTGCTCTGCTCCTGCGAGCAGAGCCCCGGGGCGGGGGCAGCCCCCGCGCGGCGCCATGGCCCCCCCGAGCCCCCAGCCCACCCTGGCACCGCAGCCCCCTGGGCCTCCAGCCCTGTCCCGGTGCCGTGACCCCCCCAAGCCCCCCGTCCTGTCCTGGTGCCGCAGCCCCCCGAGCCCCCAGTCCCATCCTGGTGCCGTGGCCCCCCCCCCAGTCCTCTCAGCCCCGTCCTGCCACCGTGGACCCCCCCGAGCCCCCCAGCCCCGTCCCGGTGCCGCAGCCGGAGCCACCAGCCCAAGCACAAAGCATCGGGTCCAACGGGAGGTCCTGACCCAGCACAATCCTGGTGAGCTCCGGCGGGAGACCCCCGGCCCCACTGCCAGCCGGGCCCCCCCGCGCCCCCCGCTGCCCCCCTCCCACGCAGGATGTGCCCCGGGGACCCGCCGGTGTCCCCCCACCCCTCAGAATCCTCCCTGCGGGGTGGCCCGGCCCCACACCCCGGGACCCCCCCGGCTCCCCCCAGCTCTGTCGCGGCCCTGCTTGTCCCCCCCCGGCCGGAGCGGGGTCCCCGCGCTGTCACCAGCCCCTCGTCCCCGCGAGGTTTGTCCCCTCGCCCCGAGGTTCGTCCCCTCGCTCCGGCCCCGCTCCCGCTGTCCCCGAGGGGGTGTCCCCGGGGGGTGTCCCCGGGCGGGCTGATCCCCCCCCCATCCCAGCTCCCCGCATCCCCCCCGGCTTTTTACAGGAGGACCCGCGTGCCCAGGGGACGAGGTGACGATGTAGCCTTTACTCTAGAAATAGTCTTCCTTCAATAAAGAGATGAGAAACGCTCCCGCGTCCCCCCGGAGCCGCCCCCGGCCGCGGGGCCGCGGGGGGGGGGGCCCAAAAAGGGGGGCGAGGAGGGCCGGGGGGGCGCGCGTGTGTTCGCGTGTGTTCACGTGTGTTCGCGTGTGTTCGCGTGTGTTCACGTGTGTTCGCGTGTGTTCGCGTGTGTTCGCGTGTGTTCACGTGTGTTCGCGTGTGTTCACGTGTGTTCGCGTGTGTTCGCGTGTGTTCGCGTGTGTTCGCGTGTGTTCACGTGTGTTCGCGTGTGTTCACGTGTGTTCACGTGTGTTCGCGTGTGTTCGCGTGTGTTCACGTGTGTTCACGTGTGCGCTCGCGTGCGCGCGCGGGGCTCCGTGCACGTGCCCGCGCACACACACACACGTGCCCCGGGCACACGCGTGTCCGCGGCCCCCCCTCCCCTCCCGGTGCCCCCCGCCCCTCGCTGCCCGTGGGGAGGGGGCGGGCGCGCGGCGCGTGCGTCATCACGCCTGTTGCTATGGAAACCATCTGCTCCCCGGGCGCGGGAGCCGCGTGGGCACGAGAGGGAGGGGCGGGGGGAGGGGGGGGGGGGGCGGGGCCGCGAGGGCCGCGCCAAGGGCACGGAGATGGTGGGGATGGTCAGGGATCCGTGGGGATGGTCAGGGATCCACGGGGATGGTCAGGGATCCGTGGGGATGGTCAGGGATCCACGGGGATGGTCAGGGATCCGTGGGGATGGACATGGATCCACGGGGATGGACATGGACCCATGGGGATGGCAGGGAACCGTGGGGATGGTCAGGGATCCATGGGGATGGTCAGGGATCTCTGGGGATGGCAGGGATCTCTGGGGATGGTCAGGGATCCGTGGGGATGGACATGGATCCACGGGGATGGACATGGATCCATGGGGATGGTCAGGGATCCGTGGGGATGGACATGGATCCACGGGGATGGACATGGATCCATGGGGATGGCAGGGAACCGTGGGGATGGTCAGGGATCTGTGGGGATGGTCAGGGATCCATGGGGATGGTCAGGGATCTCTGGGGATGGTCAGGGTTCCATGGGGATGGCTGTGGCTCCATGGGGATGGCCACAGTCAGGACCTCGGGACAATCACAGCTCCATGGGGAGGTCACAGATCTGTAGGGGTGGCACAGATCCGTGGGGATGGCATGGATCCATGGGGATGGTTGTGGCTTAGTGGGGACAGACTCAGCTCTGTGAGGATGGCTGTGACTCCCTGTTGACAGCCACAGGCTGGTCCTTGGGGACAGTCACAGCTCTGTGGGGACAGTCATGGCTCCATGGGGATCATCACAGCTCTGTGGGGACTGTCTCACCTCTGTGGGATGGTCACAGGTATGTGGGGATGGCCTGAGCCCCCCAAAATCAGCGCAGGCTCGGGCTGGTGGATCCTCACAGGGCGTCTGGAGCCTCCCTCGGGTCCAGGCTTTAAACAAGCTGCTCCTGAGCGTTAATTAGCGGGATGAGCGGCGGGATGAGCCGTGGGATGAGCCGTCGTGCCGCCTGTTCCCGCCGCTCCCCCCCGCGATGAGGAGCCGTCATAAAATGCCCAGTCATAAAATCCAGTTTTTGGGCCCCCAAACCAGCTCCTGGTCCTGTCCCTCGCACTGGCCACGGTGCCTGTGTGGGACATTGTCCCTCGTGTCCCCCCTGAGGGGAGATCCCGGCCCTGGTCCCCCTCGGGGGTTCCCCTGTGCCCGGTGCTGCCCATCTGCAGCCAAAGCGGATTAGGACGCGGAGGGCCGGGACATATGGGAGCAAACTGGATTAAGGGAAAAATCAGCCTTCTCCCCACTAACAGGATTATTGGGTTTTCAGCCCAATTTCAGCACAGCCGCCGCCAGTGGCAGCGGGGCCGCGTCCCCCCCCCATGCTGGGGACAACCCGGACCGGGCGATTCTGCACCTCGGTTCCTGCTGGGATCGCAGCTGCCACTGGTGCGGACTGGTGTAGACTGGTGTGGCCCCGCTGCGGATTGAGATGTGCTGGGAAGCTGCCGGGGAGCGGTGGCCTGAGGCCGGGGCTGTGTCCACCCTCGGGGGCTCCCGGGGGCACCCTGGGCCCCCCTCGCCCCGCCGGGACCAGGCACTACCCGGTGCCAGTGGCAGCCGAGGGGGGAATCAAAGCCTCGATTCAGGGCGTGATTTCCCGCTCCCCCCGCGTGACTCCCGCCCGCTGCTGATTCATCCCCATGGATTTTCCGCCCCGGTCCACACGGAGAGCAGCTCCCGAGGGGTGGGGGGGGCCGGGGCTGCTGCAGCCCCCCAACACGCAGGGCTGGCCTGGGCAGAGCGCCGGGGGCACCGGGGGGTGCCGCACGGGGGGGCTCACAGGAGCCTGGCCAGGCTGCACCGAGGGCCTCAGAAAGGGGGGGGCACAGACCAGGGGATCCCAGGGGGACCCAGAGGGTTCTGGGGGAGAGAACACAGGCCAGGAGGTCCTGGGAGGACCTGAGGGGACTGGGGGGACCCGGGGTGGGGGGGGCACAGAACGGGGGATCTCAGCGGGACCTGGTGGATCCCGGGGAGAACCGGGGGGGCCTGAGGGAGAACCTGAGAGGGGGCACAGACTGGGAGATCCAGGGGCGGCCTGGGAGGTCCCGGGAGGGGCACAGCCCCGGGGATCCTGGCAGTGTCTGGGGGGACGCGGGGACCCAGGAGGGGCCACAGCCCGGGGGATCCCGGAGGTCCCGGGGGGGGGCTCGTCCCGGAGCCTTCGCACCCCGGAGGCCACGTGCCCCCTCCCCTTCATTAATATTAATGAACTATTTTACATGGACACGCCCCTTTCCCCGCCCCGCTCCTTGATTGGCCGCTCCCCCCCCGCCGCTCCCCCGCCCGGCTCCGCCCCCTCCCCGCCCCGCCCTCCGCGCCGCCGCCGCAACCGAACTTGGCGGCCGCTCCGGGCCCCGCCCCTCCTCCGGCCCCGCCCCCCGCGCTCCGCTTGGCGCAGGCTCCCATTGGCGGACGGCGCTGTCCGTCAGGCGTGGGGGGGCGGGGCCGGCGCCGCCCGGGGCCAGCAGGGTGCGTTGCGCCGCGCGGGGTCTGAGGCGGCGGCTCCGCTCCGCGCCCGCTCCCGGTCCCGCCGCTGCCGGTGAGGAGCCGCCGGGGACGGGGCGGGACGGCCCGGGGAGGCCGAGGGGGGCCGCCCGCTGGGCTCAGGCCGCGCCTTGGCGCAGCCCCCGGCCCGGCGCGGCCCTGCCCGGGGGCCCCTCGCGGCCCGGGGCGGGGGGGTGGGCGGCGGGGCTGGGCTGGGCTGGGCTGGGGAGCCCGAGGGGGCTCGGGGGGGGTTGAGGGTTGCGAGGGGGTTTTGGGGGTGTGAGGGGGGTCTGGGCGGGGTGGGAGGGGAGGGGAGGCGAGGGGGGCGATGGGGATGGGGGTGAGCGGCCGGGGGGGGTCTGGGAAGGAGGTGGAGGGCGGGGGGCCCCGGTAAAGGGGTCGGGGGGGCTCGGGGGGTGCTTGGGGTCTGGGGGGGGTCTGGGCAGGTGGAGGGGGACTGGGGGTACCGTGGGGTGCGAGGGGCGAGCTGGGCTGGCGGGGGCTTGGGGGGGGTGTTGGGGGATTTGGGGACAAGGGCTGGGGAAGGGGGAACCCCCGGGCAGGGGCTGGGCTGGGGGTTTGGGGGTCCTGGGGGAGCCGGGAGGGTCCTGGGGGCGCTGGGGCCTGGCAGAGGGGGCAGGTTTGGGGTGGGCAGCTGAGAGGGTCCCAGGGGGGGTCTCAGCACTGGGGGGGGGTTTCCAGCACGAGGTTCAATGAGAGGAGGTGACATGGGGATGTTTGGGGGGGGCACAAAGAGGGGCTGGGGTGGGTTGTGGGGGGGTTCCCCAGGTTTTTGGGTGAGGGGGTCAGGGGGATGGGGCTGGAGGTGGGTGGGGGGCAGTGGAGGGGGGTGGCTGGAGCCAGGGGTGGGGTGGGAGTGTGATGGGGGGTCTTTGGGTGTTGGAACCCATGGGGGAGGTGGTTCAGCACCAGCTGCTCGGGAAGTTGGGTGATTTAACGGTGAGTGGTCTGGACCCTGGTTTGGGGTCAAAAAAGGGCGGTTGGGAGCTCATCAGAAGGTCCAACCTCACGTAATTTACTTGTTTATTTTCTGTGTGTGAGTTGAGGGCGGGTTGGTTGGTGTGGAGAGGAGGGACAGGAGCTGTTGGAGCCCGTGGCTGGCGAAGGGCAGCGATGGGATCCCGCCCGATCCAGGCAGGATTCGGGAGGCATCAGGGAATTGTGTGGGTTACATAAAGGAGGGGTGGCTGCAGCAGCTGGGTTTTGTGTTAGTGAGGTGTAGAGGAGGTGGGTGCCGCAGACAAAGAGGGAGAAACCTGTCTCCTTCTCCTGACTTCCAAACAGAGCTGTGGGATGGAAAGCTGGGTGTCCTTTGGGAGTCAGGGAAGTGCAGGGAAGCAGGGACTGGAAGGTGTCCCGGTGCCTGGAGCAGGTGAAGGGGATTCACCTCCACCCTGGGCCATCAGGTGTGGCCTCAGAATGAGCTGTGCTAGAGCTGGGTCTGCTCTGAGACACCTCCTGCTTGTAAGAACTAACCGTGGCTTTGAAGGGTTTTTCTTTGGGAAATGCCCCCCTTTGGGGTGGTTTGTACCCGTGGGCTTCCTGTGGCACCAACCCCGGCACGTCCAACGGTGGTGATCCCTGCCAGGAGAAGAGCTGGTGTGTGCTGGAGCACAGGAGTCAGCAGCTTGATCTGTAGTCTGAGACTAAGCAAACTGGAGTTGTTTTAGGTCATTTCTTGGTTTTCTTCTCATGCTGCCTTTCAGACACCAGGGTGGCTTCTCAAACCCCGCAGCCCCGAGGTCAGACCCTCGTCCCTGGGGGGTTCCACAGGTCTGTGTGTCCCTGCCGTGTGGGACAGCAGGCAGATGAGCTGGTCCCTGATGGTTTGCCTCCCAGGTCAGCTCCGTGGCCACAAACCAAAGTCCTGTGGCTCCCCAGTGCCAGTTATCCCGTTCTGTCCCAGCCAGAAGGTGGGCTCAGCGTGGTCGAGTGGGGTTTGTTGTCCCCAGAGGTTCTCTCCTGCCATCTGTGGCTGTGACACGAACGGAAATGGCTCTTCTGTGTGGTTGGGGGTTGTGATGGTTCACACAGTCCTGGTTTTCCGTACCAGTTTTCCTCCTGTGCCCGTCTCATCCCTGGATTTGGTGTTTAACTGGAGTCGCTTCATTAACGGGCCCTGGGGAGGTTTATCCCGCTTTGAAGGAGTGGGAATGGCAGCACACCAGGAGTGTGACAGCCCAGAGGGACCATTCCACGGCCAGGAGAGGATCCTGTGGCTCGGGGACACAGAGCTTTGGGAGGTTTGTCCCCTGCTCATCTCACTTCCCCCGGGGGCCGGCCCAGCCCGAGCCTTCCTGCCCCATTTCCTTATCTGCCAGGGGAGATAACGGCCCTGCCTCGAGGTTGTCATGCCCTGCAGCTCGTTAGCCTAACGAGGGGAGTGCCTGGCTCCGGGACCTGCTGCTTATCCCTGGACTTGGCTCCAGAGGAGCTAAACACTGGTGCCCTTTGGAGAACGCTGACTTTATTGCCGGGAGCTGCTCTCGGTGCCGGGGGGTCGTGGCTCTCCCTGCCCCGCCAGGATCGGGGCTGGAGGAGCTCCAGCACCGGAATAATCACCCTGGGAACGCTCTGGGTTGGGGAGGGCTCCCAGGCAGCCTCTTGGCCGCTGGGGAAGTTGTCTTGGATGCCTTGGGGAGGAGGTGGTGGGAGCAGACACTTCCAAAGTCGCTTCCGTGCCTCTCCAGCCTAAGGGATGAGCTCGGGGTGGGGAGGTGGGGTAGTCTGGTTGTCTTGGGTTTGTAGCCCCCAACGCGGCTCTGGAAGAGATTCCAAGGGCTCTGGTGAGAGGGCTGGCAGTCCTGGCAGTCCTGCTGTGCCACGGGAAGTGGGGTGGGTGACCCCAAACCCGTGGAAAGCAGGGTGGAAGTTTGTAATCGTTTGGGGATTGTTGAGCCGGGAAGGGGAGAGTGAGGGGGGAGAAAGGGGCTATAAAATACAGCACCTCTGACAGGAGGTGAAGTGAGGGACCTGCTGTGGTAGATCCAATGTGGTTTTCCCCACATTTCCGAGAAACCAAAGGAATTGAGACCATCTTGGAGTGGTTTGGGTAGGAAGGGCCTTGAAGCTCATCCGGTTCCGTCCCCTGCCATGGGCAGGGACACCTTCCAGGTTGCTCCAAGCCCTGTCCAGCCTGGCCTTGGTGCAGAGGTCTAGTAGGTGAACTTGGAGGTGGGGAAGCCTGCTCAGGTATCCCTGAAATTCCTGGAGTGGTTCAGCCAGGGAGCAGCAGTCTTTCCCAGTTGTAGCATCCTGGTGTCTCTGGCCAGTGGGTGTCTGTCAGTCCTTCCCACCCGGTGCCAGGGGTTTTATCTTCCTCCCCTCTGGGTTTCCCAGCACGGTGTCAGAAGGAGTGAAATTGGGAAGGGAACAGAACTGAAAGGAAATACAACTCCAGTCCCCGGTGAGGAGCACACAGGGACAAAGCTGGAGAGAGCTGTGCCTTAAAAAAAACCCCCAACAAACGTTTGTCTCAGATTTACCCACTTAAGTCTGTGTTTTAAAATAAATCCCCGGGATTCAGAGGAGTGGAAGAGCCAGCCCTTGCTCTTGGTGCCCCGTTATCATCTGCTGCTGGGTTCTGCCAAGAGGCCCTCCGTGGAAATCCCGGGACAAACGGGCCATTGTGCCACACAGCACGTTGGCATTTGGGGTTTGTGAAAGTGAAACTCAGCTCAGGGCTCAGCTCGAGTTCCTGGGCTGTAAATCCCCCCCCCAGCCAACCCAAAAGCGTTTATTTAAAATGTCCTTTGTGTTGTGCAATCCTGCTGCTCTCCTCCTTCCTGCTGCTCCCCCAGAGCACCTGAAGAGCCAGGAATTAGTTAAAAAAAACCCCAAACAAACCAACTAAAAGCGGTCCCGGTGCCGAATCTGTTTGATTCAGTTAATTCTTGCTGTTGGGTGCTGAGGGGATGTTTAATCTCCTCCTTTTAATCTCCCTTTGAAGGGGTGGAGGGGCCGGATTTTTCCTGGGAGGGAGCTGTGAATTCAGCTGATAGCTCCAGCTCGGAGTTCTCTCCCTGAGTCCTGGGTTCAGTTTTTGTGGGATGGGTGGGCAGGGATTGGCTGTGACGTTAAGGACCAAAAAAAAGGGAGGAAATTCGGGCACGGTGTTAATGCCGAGGCACAAAACAGGAAATTTAGTTAAGGCTTGTGCTTTTTCATAATTTATTGCGTGTTTCCCCCCCCCCTTCTAACAGGCAAGGTGAAGTTTTAAAGTAGTTTTATTGTGCTTCAGCCTGTGTTGGGTCTGTCCCACTGAAAATATTTCCGAATTTGTGCTTAAAGGTGGGTTTTTAGTGGGTTTCTGAGAAGCTGTGAAAGCTGAGAAACCTCAATCGCTCCTGCTTTGTCCTGTTTTCATTCCACAGAAAAAAAAAAGGGGGGAAAAAAACTATAAAACAACCACCTAAGAGTGATTTTAAAAATATCTCGCTCCTAATGGGAACGTGGGAGCAGGAAAAGGGGCCCTGGCCTGGTGCCAGGGGTGGGGGCTGTGGGTCTGGGGGTGCTGGAAGGACCTTCCCCCCCTCCTCTGACACCTCCCAGTCCCCCTCAGGGAGCTGCCACCTCCCCTCAGCTCCAGGGACTGACGTTCCCCCAGCCTTCTCCAAAAAGCTTTTTGTTTCATTCCCAACTTATCCCCTTCGGAGGGGAAAAAAAAAAGGGATCTATTTTTAAATCTATAGAATAGTTTGGGTTGGGTTTTTTGTTGGTTTTTTTGAGCCCTGAAGGCATTTTGTCCATTTCTGCCTCATCTGCTGTTAGAAAAACGCCCGAGATCTCCTCGTGGGGTTTAACCCTCGGCAGCTCGTCCCGAGCTCGGGATCTGCGCCGGGATTTCTCTGGACGTGCTGCTGGAGCTGCTCCTGGGAGGTTCCTCGGGGGTATTTTCGTTTCCTCCACTCTGAGGGTCACTTCTCTTTTTTTTTTTGTGCTGGCAAGGGCTCGGTGTTTATGCTCCATAAATTGTGACGTGTCCCGGCTCCTCCTCCCAGCCCTCGCTGGGAATTGTGTGCAATTCCCAAACAC